GCCGCCCCTGTGTGTGCCACATTGGCAGCAAAACAAGGGGAGGGGGGGGATGTTAACTGGGGAGGGGTCTGCGTGAGCACAGTGCTGGAAATGGGGGGGTGGGTGCACAACCCTGAGGGTTCAACCAAGGAGGGTTGGGGGGGCAGAGCAGAGGTTCCTGATGAATAATTTCCTCTTTCTTTGATTTGAGGGCTCCAGAATGATGTTGTGATGAAAGATTGCTCTGGGGGGGGGGGGGGGGGGGGGGCACACGTTTTTTTGGTTGTTGTTCAAATCTGTGTCGGTGTTTGGGGAGGATGGGTTGCAAAAGAACCTGAGCAGCACGATCCGTGCAAGGGTGCATCATCCGGGGATGCAAACTTTGCAAAGAACTGCTGGATGGAGGCTGTGTGCAAGCAGCAGCAAACCACGCAGGTGAAGGTTCAGATGCTCTCTTAACGCAGAGGTGCTGCTCACTGAATTACTTCCCCCAAGAGCAAAAATGCAAGGGCTGATTGGTGCATATAACAGTGCCTGGGTGCAAGGAACCATCACCTTGCGCTGGGAAACTGCGACCTGGAGTTGGAGGATGCTACACTTGAGGGTCCCCAGTGTGCAGGGAGGGCCCAAGGCCCACTGCCAACCCCCTCACTTACCAAAACCTAGGGGTGCACTTGAGAACGCCCCCCCCCCAGTCCTTTCCAGCCCATCAGATGAATGATTGAAGGCAAAGGATTTCCTCTGCCCCCTCTTCTTGTGGCAGCCTCAAACCTGGAGAGCAGACATGGCACTGTGCACCTGGAGCACAAAAAGGAGCTGCAGCACAAGTATGGTTATCACTCTATTTTTGATAAACCCTCATTATTTGCACCCTGGTCAGGAGGAGCAATGCTTTTGCAGCTCCCAGAGCCAGGCTTGGAAAGTGTGATTGGGATGGAGCAGCACAGCACAGCACCAACATTTGGTTGGGATTTTCAGGGCTTGCAAGCTGCCTGCATGCAACGGCTCCAAGGTCTCGTGCTGCAGGAGGACCCCCCTGAAACTGCTCTAAAATGGGTGCGTGGAGTGAGGACCTCAAATACTGCAAGCATCAGTTTCTGGAGGAACCGTATGTTAAAGATAAAGAAGGAAAATCAAGTCAAACTGGAGATGGATGGACCCTATTGAGATATACCAGAGAAATCACATCCAGGAGGCAAGCGCTGAGCTGAGCGCGCTCCTGAGACTGGGGTCTGAATTTAGGGGTGTTGCAGACAATCAGCCTTCCTTCCTCCACCCCCAGTTGACCACTGAGAAGACCCTCAGTGCTGACTGCGTGCCCTGAGAGGTGACTTCGAGAAAATATTGAGCGTATGCATTAAATTCTGGGGGAAATAGTATGAGTATGTATGAGCAGGACCAATAAATGTCATCTGCATGTGAGCCAAGCCGCACGCATCAGCACCGGACTCATCTACTGATGTTCTTGGCATCGTGGGAGCTGTGAGCGGAGCCTTACTCCAGGGTTGGGCGTATTTATTCATTTCCGAGGAATTTCTGCTCTGTTTTTGCCTCCCCAGGGGCAGCAAGAAGAGGGCAGAGCCGTTCGGGGCACCGCTGAGTGACAGCTGTCAATCATCGCCGCCGCTCCGCTCGCTGCGCTCTGCCGCCACCCAGCGACCGAGCTGCGAAAAGAGCGGATTTGGGGAAAAGGATCAAAAACATCGAGGAGAGGACGAGCACTGCACTTTGCTCTCGCTTTGCTCCGAAATGCCAGTTTGGGGTGAAAATCAGCGCCAGCTCCGCAGGGGGAAAAGCTCTGAGCCCCTGCGCTGCTCCCAGTTCAGGGCTGGGACTGATAGAGGTTGGATGTTTAGTAATGGGGAATAGGGCACTGGTTTGAGAACCTGTATAACTGCTTAGCAAAAGGAATCCATGAGTGATGGTTCCAAAACGTTCCATTTCAGCTTTAGTAGGTGAACTCAGTTGCTTTCATCCATCATTTTGCACCAGAGACTTCATAGAATACTTTTGCATCCAAGAGGTGCAAGGACATCTTCCTCAGATACAGCATACATTGTTTGAAAAGAGGCTCCTTGTGGCCTAAGGAGCAATGGACATCTTCCAAACTGGGGAAAAGCAGCTGAACGTGAGCAAAGGTCTGAGTAATACGTGAAAGCATTTGCTAATATCCCATTGGCCATGGGTACCCCAGTGGTACCGAGGGAGGTCGAGTGCTCATCTACTTCCTCCCCATCTTCCACCACCAGCTTAATCACTCAGACCTTTGCTCACATTCAGCTGCTTTTCCCCAGTTTGGAAGATGTCCATTGCTCCTTAGGCCACAGGGAATCACTTCTCAAACAATATATGTGGAATCTGAGGAAGATGCCCTTGCACCTACTGGGTGCAAAAGTATTCTATGATGTCCCCGGTGATGGGGAAAATGATTGAGGAAAGCAATTGAGTTCACCCTCTAAAGCTGAAATGGACAGTTTTGGAACTGTCACTCGCAGATTCCTTTTGCTAATATCTTTGTACTCAAATGATGCACTATTCCCTATTGCTGAACATCCAACCTATGTCAGTCGCTCCTTTTCTTTTGAGGATGATGGTGTTTTTCTCCTCAGCCTCACTCTCACTACCCTCAGCCTTTCACATTTAAAGATACAACTCCAACACTGCATAACGCAACCAGCAAGGATGCACAGAGCCACTACAGACACCACCCCTCTGGATACCTTCCTTAAGCAATCCAATTTGGGAAGCCAGGAAGTCATTTCGGCTCCAGCTTACATCATCCTGCCTTATTTTATGCAGTATCTCAGTTTGGTGCCACATCTTACATATATCCCCAACGTATATCAGTGCCAGAGGACAGCAACCCTTCTAATGAGGCACTCAAGGGGACAACAGTGTCACCCCCCATCAGTGACACCAGTGACATAGGGAGCAGATACATCCCGCCCTGTACCCAACAGGGAGGGGGGAAAAGAAAGAGGAAGGAGAAATGAAGAGCCAGAGGTGCAGAAAGTTATCAGAAACTTGTTTTTTTTTTTTTTTTAATTTTTTTTTGTTTGTTTTCTCCTTTTTAATAGTAAACCTCTTTACAACAAATATAGTGAAAGAGTTTTCCAAACAAAATTCATAAGAATTTTTAACGGTCATTATTATTATTATTATTATTATTAGCATTTTTTTTTTTCTTTCCCTTGTTGTGGAATATATCGTAACGCCTCACCATACAGCACAAA